AATTCAAAAAGAAGAAAGGAAGATTCATAAAGAAAGAAGAAAGGGAATCCAATGGGAAATTGACTTTAAGAGAATGGAATTGAGCTCTACATCTCACCCTTCATCTGCTTCATGGTATTTTGATATTACAAGACATGCAAGATTGGTTCCCCCATATAATGAAAAAGAAGTTGATAAATATTTTCTACACTTTGAGAAAGTTGCTCAAAATTTCTAATGGTCAAAGGAGTCCTGTACTATTCTTCTTCAGACTGTTCTTAAAGGTCAAGCTCGAAGTTTATTCAGCCATGTCTGTCGAAGCCAGCTGAAATTATAATACAGTTGAAAATCATGTTCTAGAAGCTTATGAACTGGTCCCGGAAGCATACAGACAAATACATGGTGTGGGGCTGTTTTTCAGCATATGGTAATGGCAGATGTCATATAATTGAAGGAAGGATGAATGGAGAGATATACCAAGACATTCTTGATAAGAATCTGTTGCAATCTACCAGAATGCTGAAGATGAAATGAGGGCGAACATTTCAGCAAGACAATGATCCCAAACACACAGCCAAGGAAACTCTCAATTGGTTTCAGAGAAAGAAAATAAAGCTGCTACTATGGCCTAGTCAATCACACAACTTGAATCCAATTGAAAATCAATGGAAAGAACTGAAGATCAGAGTTCATGGAAGAGGAACCCTCAAGATTTGAAGACAGTTTGTGTGGAAGAATGGGCTAAATCACACCTGAGCAATGGATGCGACTAATTTCTCCATACAGGAGGCTTCTTGAAGTTGTCATTACCAACAAAGACTTTTCTGGTTAGTATTAAATAGATTTCAGTAAGCATGTTCAATACTTTTTCCCTGTGTCATTCCACTTTATTACTCATAACTTAATTTATGGACTTATTAGTCGAGCCCCCGTAGGGGTTTGCGAGACTATTGTAATCACCTTGTGAGTCTGTCTGTCTGTCTGTCTGTGTGTGTGTATGTGTGCTTCCGGGCAGATATCTCCAGAAACACTTGACCGATTTGAATCATCTTTCACATGTAAACACCTTGGGCTGACTTCATGGCATGACATAAATTTCAGGCTGTTGGGCGAGACTATGAATTTTCTGAATGCTTGTTTGCTTTGATTTCTTTGTCTGTGTGGATTACTTGGGTTGTTACCGACATCTGGTGAAAATTTCCTGTCAATAGCCCCATTAGAAATATATTTACTGAGAAAAATGTTGACGCGTTAAATACTTATACGTGTTCAATACTTTTTCTCCCCACTGTATGTTCTAAGTTTCACTTCGTTCAAAATACAAGATCCAGTAATCGGCTACGTTTAAAGGTGCCACCTGTGCAGACTGAGGCTGGTAAAAGGAATCTATTTTATTTTGGCCCTTGGTCTTGGAGTGACCTACAGGCTACCCTTAATCAGGGCTCCCTCATCTCTCTTTGCATTTTAAACAAAAGTAAACCAGAGTTTATACCATAAACTTCTCTTGCTTTATCGCAAAACAATCTTGATGCATTTTGATGCATTTTGGTTGTATGTACTATATATGTTTTGTGTATTTGCAACCATTTTTTGATGTGTTGATTTTTTTTCTCCCCCTAATGAATTGTTTTGTATTCTATTGTATGTAATCAGCATGTTCTCCATGCTCAACTTAGCTGTCTTCTTGGCCAGGTCACCACAGAAAAAGAGATTTTTTTATCTCAACTGGATCTTACCTGGTTGAATAAAGGTTAAAATAAATAAATAAAAATAAATGAGGGTTTGTAGTGCTGGACTAAAAGGGCTCTCAATTAATCACAGCTGTCCACATATTTTTTATTTGTCAGTGAAAATAACACTGCTGCAGCCATTTTTGTTTAACCTCTTAAACCCGAACGGCCCCGGTACCAAGGGCGATTCATTACGCATCATAAATACAGCAAGTTACCTAACAGCAACATCGTTATGCGGTATATCCACTTTACGGGAAGAAACTCGGCAAAAAGCTCATGTTGAACATTTTTACCTCAACTGAACACAATTCCAGCACCAAAAAAGTAAATAAGCATGTAGCAAAACATAGGATAAAATAATATCAGCGCTCAATCACTAGTGTTTCTACTGAATTTGTTCTAGGCATACAAACGATACATCAAATGACAGCGGAAAGTCCACAAAATCCAACGATATAAGCCGTGTCATTTTAAATCAACACCATACTCAATGAACCTGCTGGCATACACTTTTCATTCTACAGAGATGAGCAAAAAACTTTTCCTACCTTTGATATTTTGTAATAAACTGTGTTCCAGGGTAAATCTGCACTTGCTATTGTTAGCTCAATGTGTCCGTGTTATATCGAAATTAGTTCTTCGAGTCTCCATGCATTTTTTTTCCGGGGCTTTGCCTCAAAGGATGTCAGCTCCATGGCATTCTGCTTGCTCGCAATGCACTTTCCTCTCTGTGGTCAGCTTGTGATGCTGTCAGTAAGACTTTGTGGGTGGCCATTTGATTCTCTGGGCTCTGACGTTTCCAACGAGCCCTAAACCACCTAAATAGCACAAACCAAGCCTGAGATAGAGCCTTGCGTTCCCAGTGCATCAAACTGAGTCCATGGGCCATTCAAATGTACTTGAATAGGGCAACAATATAAACACTTAAAGGTCCCCTATTATACAGATCCTTCTTTTAATACATACAAGTAATGTTATAATGTTGGATGTCCATACTCAACCTCTGCAAAGTTTCTAAACATAAGATACAGGGGTTTCACCGTAATCCGAGAACGTGATTTCCTGAACTTGATTTCCTCTCTGAACAGCTCATCCCGAGATCTTCACGAGATCTGGGCAAAACCTGACATGAGGTTGTTGCGTCCAATCAGGACAGACCTGGCCAGAGCCAATCACGGCGCTGGACCTGCCCACCCTGGAATTTATTCTATCAGACACAAACAAACCCAAATCATATAACGTGTTGATTTATCATAATGTCTCCCAAAGCTCTTCGTATGTGTTTTTTTGGATGCGAAAAAAAGCACAACTATTTTCTCTTCCAAAAGACGATGCCACCAGAAATCAGTGGGTAGCTTTTTTGTTTGCTGGCGGCAAACAGCCACACTCAAAGGGAACGTTAGCTGTTTGTGCTCAGAATTTTACCAAAGACAGCTTCGTCAATAAAGGATAATTCGACACTGGATATGCGTCTCAGCTGCATCTTAAACCTGGAGCAGTTGCATCGATCAAGCGCTTGGAGCCACAAGCTGAAAGTAACGATATAACAGCAAATAATGTAAGTGAAGCTAACATGTTATGGGTGGCTTGCAGGACCGCTAACAATAGTTAGTACTAACAATTGGCCTCAAACGCAGGCTTTGTAAAATATCTGAAGATAAAGCGTGGATCAGTATCAACTGTCCGTCACTCACAGATGCGGAAGCAGTAAGTTTTACCATTTTGTGTTGCTTTACTGCATAAGCCTACCTAACGTGATAGCCTGTTGGATGTGGCTGTAGCACTGCGGCTAACATTGCTAAGTTACTGTTGCTAATGTTCTTGTCCTAAATATGCCAGAGTAAATAATATCAAAGAGACATTCAACAGAAGGTGTGTGAGCATAAACCTCATTTGAAACTAAATTTTTATACTTGTTTGTAATTTGGATGCTTGGTACAACTGTTCACAATAACAGAACTTACTGTATGTAAAACCCGTATTGCACGGTAACGTTTGTCTCTGTCGTTATGACCGCTCAGTTACTATCGCATGTTATTTCACGTTCCGTGCTACTTAAAAATGCTCCTGGTTAATTTATATGCAGTAATTCAGATTGGTATGCTTGTGTTACTTTGGTTAGTATCGAGGTGGTAATTTCATCATAACATTACCTGACCGTAGCCGCTACAGTTTAAGCTTACCGGAGAGGCGTTGTGCGTGTCTGCAAAGTTGGGCTGATAAGACTGCAGTTAGTGTTTGGGTTTGTTTACTGCTGCTGTGAAACGATCGTTTTACTTATCCATGACCGGGGTCAGCCGGGTACTTTGCCATGGTGTGGGCTAGATCTCTGACCCTACCGCGGTGAAAGCAATCGCGAAACGCATATAACATGTCTGGTATAACAAATGATTTCTCTGCATTGCCGTGGCGGCATTTCTTCCACCTTTGAAAATTGTTCTGGCTAATGAAAAGCCGAAAAAGAAGTGGAGGTCAGATTCGGATTTCCGGTAGAAGTTTTCGATTCGCTAGCTCCACATAAGCAACGCTTACACCGTTTGTTTGTTTTTGCTACAAACTCATTTAGTAGCTTGGTCTCGGAATTGTGTTTCAGTTTGGTAGACATGGTTAACAGGAGCTTTTAGCAAAGCTTCCTCCGGATAGATAAGTGGTTATATAACATGACAGTACGAGCAAAACATTAAAATTTCAACTTGCCACTCTTCGAAACCTTGCTGTAAACGTTGCTGCAATTCTTCAATTGCTTCCTCCTCCCGTTCGGGGTTGGATTTGGGATCAAATAAGTACGGTCTTACAGCAGTAGATGCCGCAGAGAGCTGAACTGAAATACCTGCCATCTTGGTTTCCTGGTTTTTCGGGTCTGTACCCTCCCCTGGAATTGAAGCGGCCAGGCAGCCAATCAGAGAACCGTCCATTAGCATAGCCTCCCCGCTCACTCAACTTAGCTCGTGTTTCAGGCCGGCACAGACAGGGTGAGAGAAGAGGTCTCACTTGGCCTGGATGAATGCAGTTTTTTTTGTAACTGAATTCTCAACATTATTTTAAAGACACATTGGACATATTTTAAATCATTAAATACAGTATAATATGGGACCTTTAACTGGTTTGTTTGTCGTATTTTAGCATAATTATCCACTAAATATTCAACAGTCGTTTTCAAAGTCGTTTTCTGACTGGGAATTCTTGTGTCATTCCACGTGAATACTGAGAGCGAAAAAATGCAAGAGGGGTGCGTGTTTTTTTGACTCACTCTTTATATGGGCAGTTTGGCATTAGGTTAATGGGTCAGTTGATCTAGCCTAGTGGTTAGGGTGATGCAATTCACCGTAGCCCATCAGGGTTCAAATCCCTGAGCAGCAAGTACTTCTTTAGGCATTTATAGCATTTTTCTTCTGTAAATAATTGCTGGGCTTTTTCTTTTTAATTTTTACATTTTTTACCTTATCTCTGTATCTATAATTTTGTTTATTTACTTTCTTTTAAATAAATCTGCTCCAGTGGAGTCAAACTTCATTTTCTTTGTACGTATTATCTTTAAATGGGAAAATGTATACAGGACTGGCAGAAATAATAATAATAATAAAAAAAAAAAACATTTTAAAATTCTAAAAATTAAAGAAGTGACTGTATTTGGATGGAATATATGCCTGTAGTGACATGTGAAATTAAATGAATTTTACAGTTTGGTACCTGAGAAATATGAAATTTTGGAGAGGCCACCTAGACATTCCTGAACTAATACCTCTCTAATTTTGCTCTGATTTACTTGGTAAGAATAAACTTTGGCACAGATAATGGTGAGATTCTGTGCTGTAATTTAGAGGTTCCAGATTGCAACTGAATTTTTGAAAAAATATTTTCTTATTTTGAATTTTATGACAGAAACATGTTTCAAGAAAGTTGGGACAGGGGCAATATTTACCACTGTGTTGCATCACCTTCTCTTTCAACAATACTCTAAAAGCGTTTGGGAATTGAGGAGACCAACTGCTATAGTTTTGAAAGCAAAATGTTTTCCTATTCTTGCTTGATATAGGCTTTCAGCTGATCAACCCTTCACAGACTCTCTTGTCAAATTTTTTTTTTCACAATGCACCAAACATTTTCAGTGGATGACAGATGCACCAAATATTTTCAGTGGGTGACAGAGTTTAGCAACCAGCCTCTAGAGCCATATTGTTGTAATACATGCATAATGTTGTGTTTGGCATTGTTTTGCTGAAGTAAGCGAGGCCTTCCCTGACAAAGATGTCTGGATGGCAGTAAATTAAACTCTCAAACTTGTATATATTGTTTAGCATGGTGTCTTCACAGATGTGCTAGTTACCCATGCCATGTGCAAAAATGCACCTCCATACTGTAATGGATGCTGGCTGTTGAACTGTGCGCTGATAAAAAGCTGGATGGTCCCTCTCCTTAACCCAGAGGATGCGGCGTCCATAATGTCTCAAAATAATTTCACATTTTTGATCATTCAGACCACAGGACAGTTTCCCACTCACCTCAGTCCATATTAAATGAGCTCGGGCCCAGCGAAGGCAGTAGCATTTTTAGATCTTGGTTTAATATTAGCATGGCAGTTTTTACTGGCATTTGTGGATACAGCAATGAATGGTGTTCACTAACAGTGGTTTACAGATGTGTTACTGAGCCAATGCAGTGATTTTTACTTCAGAATCCCATCTACTTTTAAGGCAGTGCTGCCTGAGGGTCTAAAGATCATGGCCATTCAATACTGGTTTAGGTCTTGTCCCTTGTGTACAGAGATTTCTCTAGATGCTCTGAATCTTTTGATAATATTATGCACTTTAAATGATGAAATCCCAATTCTTTGCAATTTTACATTGAGAAATGCTATTTTAAATTGTTGAACTATTTGCCCATGCAGTCTTTCTCTGAGTGGTGAAGCCATTGCCATGTTTATTTTTTGGCAGCATTCAACTTCTCCAGTCTTTTGTGGCCCCTGTCCCAACTTTTTGAAATATGTTGCTGGCATCAAATTCAAAATGAACAGGTGTTTTTCAATAAACGATAAAATTTCTTAGTTTCAACATTTGATATGTTGTCTTTGCACTGTTTTAATTTAAATAGAGGGTTTAAATGATTTGCAAATCGTTGCATTCTGTTTTCATTAACATTTTACACACTGTCCCAACTTTTCTGGAAATGAGGTTGTAGATGTGACAAGAATGTCCTGATGGAATAGCAGTCACTTATTGTGAAGATGAATAGTGGAGGGCTCACTAGTGTCCTAGGAGTACTCCCACATATGGGGGGTTAGGGGTTGGGGGGTTCAAATCGGGTTCTCTCAAACTGTCTACCTAACCTTCCCATTTATTTGGATAAATGATGAGTGCCCTCTCGACCTCAGCTGATGTATGGTGACTGCTTGGATAGAGTATGGCTGTTGTGGGCACTGAGGTGAGTTATACTATCTTATTCTAATAATCACATTTCTATACAGTGCACCAGATAGTAATTATAAAGATTTGATGTTGGGAGTCTCTCTTTCTGTCTTGTGGATGAAGTCCCATTCAGTTTTAATGACGACTGCACAATTAATAATCTATCATTCAACAAGACTGCATGTTTTTTTCAGCAATTGTAAGATTAAAACAATGTACAAAAATTAATATCGTAATATGTAAATCACGGACAACGTATAAGATCAGAAGCAAATGGAACATTTTGATTATGCAGTGGATGCAGTTTTTTCAAATAAGTCACAATTTAAACACATTTCAATGAGAGTTAGTTTCACTGTGCAGGGCTCACAATACCATTGGCTGCCATGTATTTCAGCCTGTAATGGCTAAGGGGATCCTGATCAATTGGAGTAAGCTCTGAATGATTTTAAATAACATTTAGTGATAAACTCATAATTTTTAATACCAATGTTTTGCTGTCATATACAGAAATTTATAACTTCACATACTGCTAGTATTGATTTTTTTCAATTAAATGATATGGGTCTGAATTATTTTTGCTATGTATTTAAAATGAGACCCTCCAATATATTGTATAATAATGACATAATCTGTATTTACTGGGACAACCTATAACTGTAGGCCTTGCTAAAATAAAGATCCAACAACTTTGTCTTATCCCTTGGCCACTACTCAAGGAATCACCACTCTTTTCAACCCCATTTGGAAGTGAACAGCTTGAAATGCTTATGTGATGGGTGTTGGAGTTCACCATCTGTGCATCTTTGTCTCCCTTATTCTGTGAGATGGATAGTTTTCAGCCCAGAGTGAAACAAACTCCTGGGGCACTTCACAATTACTCAAAACACTGCTAGTAACTCAAATAGTGACATCCTCAGTTTATTTTGTGACTTCATAAGGGCCTGTTGGCACCACAGGGACATATGCTGTATTGTCAGTCTACACTGTATATATTTGAAACTGCCGGTTGCATTTTTGCTTGCCCCTGACCAACCATGGATGGCACTGGTTTCTGATGGGAAATAGAGTGTAAAACCTGTATTACGGGGGTGTCTGGCGGATTGACTAAGAGCAGCTTTTCCCAGCTTCCTTTGAGGTTCTGCTCCCTGGGTTTTCCACACTCTCATCATCCTCCTTGGCAGATTTCCCTTATAGGGCTCCCAGGTTCAGCTCAGGTTCACAGTTACGGCTGTTGTGTGGAAGTTTAGTTTGTTGTTTGGTTGTGAAACAGTATCAGCCTCCATTCCAATCATAGTACTCTTTGGCTAAATAAACTGGAATAAACTGGTGCAGATGCCGGCCAATTAGGGCGATGGATGTCCAAATTAATTTGTTGGACATTTTACAGGAATCAGAAGATGTGTTATCAGTTGGAGGCCTGCTTAATCTCCTACCCTGTTCTAGAGCCTTACTATGCTATGATCTGGGCCCCAACTAATGGAATTTCTCTGTCTTCTCCCACCTGCTAGACATAGGTGAGCCGTGCCATCCTTGTGCTTAGCTCACTGAGTCCTGAAGGGGACAGCCAGAGAGGCTGTTATTTAGGAATAGCCAGAGTGTTGCACAGTGATGCAATTTAGTGACTAGATTTAATTTAATCTTATCATTTTTTTCTGTTGTTCCCAAAGTTTTATATTTTTCCTGTCTTTTAATTCTGCATTTTATTGTATTTCAGCTGATAATAATTCAAATGCTTATCTTGTTACTTTGTCTTATTCATGTTCAGTTAGGCTATAACGAAAAGATCAAGAAGAAACAAAAACCCAAGCTGGGCCTTCATTAAGTGACTGTGTGAAGCTGTAACTAAATTTGGTGTGTTCACATGAGGTCATAAAGTACAACATTAGTATGTTCAAATAGTTTGTGGCCTTTGGTTAATTCTGTGGGAAACTCTAAAAGCACACTATAAAGGCATGGCATCTGTAACCCATAATGGTATACCTGAATGATAACCCAAAATAGTGCAAAAGTCAGAGAATAATGGAAGAGACTGGTCAGCATGTGAGTAATGGGCAAGCTGGATTTTCAAAGAAGGGAAGAGCCTGTAACAGCAGAAAGGGTTTTCCCGAAAAATTCATTTTTCGAAGAGTCATCAGTCACTAGCGAGATTCATTTCAGCACATCTTAATGAAGTAATCCTCTCTCTCGTTTTTCTCTGGTTAGGAATTCCCTTGTTCTTTTACTGTTCTGTCTTCCCCTTCTTCATCTGGAAAGTTGGGAGGAGGGCCTGTGCAACCTTGGGATGATTTGTTTTCTTTATGGATTTGAGGTTGAGCAGGGCCGCAACTTATCACTGCTTTCACTTTTCCCACACCTTTCCTGCATCATGGCTTTGCTAGATCTACAGTGTATAGCAGCACTCTGTGTAGCTCTCAGTGGCCGTTTCTGCAACCTCTTGAAAAAATAAATCAGTGGACTAGTGAGAAACTCTTCTCAGACTACACCAGTCCTTAGACGGAGCCTAAAATACTATAATTTTAGCTAATTCCTTTGTTTTTCCAGATTTTTCATCTATTTATTCAAACAACTGTATGTATGTTCACCCCTACCCCACAGAAACAGCACCATTTAAGACAGAGTGTTTTTTGTATCTCCAAAAAAAACATTTAAAACATTTTGCAATCAGTTTCTTACAACTTCAGGAAATTCTTAGAAACTGTATGAGCAATAGATTTATAAGTTTTGTGTGTACTCCGTGAGTAGCATGTGCATATATGTGTGTAGGTGGTGGTGGTGTAGGCAGCCGGGAGGAGGCTATCTGTGGCTCATGTCTTTAATTGTATGCAAAACAGGCGAACTGTGGCCAGAGGGGAAAGAATTAATTAAGTTCTCTTGCTGTTGTGCGACTGTGCTTTGCAGGCAGATAAGAGGGGCTGGAAAAGGGCAGGTAAAGCAATGACTTACCATCGGTC